GTGAGAGAGAGAGAGAGAGAGAGAGAGAGAGAGAGAGAGAGAGAAAGAGAGAGTCTGTGTGTCTGTGTCTGTGTGTTGTGCTGGGGCAGGGGGGTTCCTTCCCTACAGGATGTCCCAGGAAAAATGGGAATAACAGAATTTTGTTTCGTTTTGTTTTCTGGATCCAAATCCTTAAAGATCAAATAGAAGAAAGATTTTTAAAGCCCCACAGGCTGGTGGAGGCAAGGACAAAGCACAGAACCTGTGAATTCAGCCAGTAGTTGAAGGAACTCTTCAGTTCCAAGGTCATTTCTCTCTTGATGCTCCGTCTTACATCCTGAGGCTGAGAAGATGGAAAGAAAGTTATGCTTTTGGAAGATGCTGCAGCTCAGGAGCACAGCACAGTGGGATTTGTGTGAAACAGTGTGGGAGGAAACTAAGGCCCTGGGGACAAAGAGGATGGATTCCTGGAACCTGCAACACACTGCCTTGTAGAGCGAGGGAGAATGAAGATACTAGACGGTTGAAGAGACAACTGACTTATTCTGTCCCACTGAGCCTGTGAAATCACAAAGGGCTTTACATGTGGAAAAAGCAGGAGTGTTGGTCGGTGTGTATGGAGAGAACTCAGACACTGTTTCTTTCTCTAAGGAAGGGGCTGCAAGGCAGGGATATGGTAACTCTAAGAGTCAGAAACAAAAGACGGGGGAGCTGGACTTCTAAGAAATGTGAGCGTGCTATCACCTGGCTAGCAGACCAGAGGAAATCCTACCAAGATTCAAACCTTCCGATCTATGAGAGGATAATCTTGATTTGTTAAATCACTATGTCTTGGGTATTAACAAAAGTAGCAACAGAAAATAGACTATTTAGATTATCGAATCTGAAAGTAAGCATTCAAGTTCAATTATAAGTCTTGAGGCAAAAGTTAATAAACCTCCCTTTAAGTTGTTGGTCTGGGTAGTCCTAGAGACAAAATAACACAGGCTATTGCCACGGCCCTTAATTTCCTCTCAGAATTTGAAGGGAAGACCGTATTGCTGAAGAAAGGACATACTTCAGATACAGGTCTTGGAGCAGTGGAGTTGGACTGACCTGGAGGCCTCCTTCCTGAGGACTAGCTCCCACAGTTTCAGAGGACACTACGCAAGCTGCTAAAGGAGAAAACTCAGTCAGTGGTCCAACCCAGCTTCAAACCTAATAACCACAATAAGACTGCCACAGAAAGCTATCTCCACTGGTACAGTGGTGGCACTTTTTTCTTGGGGTTAATCAACAACTATCTAATTGGACTTTTAAAGCCTGCTCATTGGGATGGAACTCATGTGTGGTACTTTAAACATAGCTAAATAGATATGGCTGGAGAGGTCATAGATCCTAGAGAAAACCCTACATCTGTCACATTCTTAAACAAATGGCATTTCTTTCTGTATGCTAAATATGGATCCTTATATTTATAGATGAGTATACCAGTGATTACTCATCAAAAAAGCTTCTTTTTGCAATAGATAGAGGCTATTACAGAGTTCTACAACTGGTCACACACAGAGAATAAGGGTCTGCGAGATGCCCAGTTCTAAGTAACTCATCTACAATGAAATCTCTATAAGGCTCATGGAACATAGTGGAACAGGAGTTAGAGGTCTGCGAGATGCCCAGTTCTAAGTAACTCATCTACAATGAAATCTCTATACATAAGGCTCATGGAACATAGTGGAACAGGAGTTAGGATAGTAATGAATCTGTCCACTTTCACCAGGGAATCTTCCTCAGGCAACACAGGGCAATTAACAGAGAGGCCACAATTGGCCAACCTGTAGAGAATAAGAGACTGCGGATTGTGTGTTCCTGGATGGGACGAGTATCTTAAGCCTTACCCACCCGGGGCTCAGGGACCACTGCAAGAGCCAGAAGTAGTGTTTGACCACAGGAAATCGGTTTTTCCAGGCTTCTGGGAGCTTGCGTATATGAACTTACAGCAATGGTAACAGCATACACAGGACCCATGCAAACTCAAATCAGACAAAAACCCAGCATAGAATTGGGGAAACAGGCAGCAGATCCCAATCTTAACTGAAGAAATATTGGCAGCTGCTCACTGATGGGTGAAGGAGAACTGGTCTTCTTTAAGGGATCCTAGATAGAACGACCAGGCTCCAGGGCATAAGCTTACACTGCGTAACGCCTGGAGACACAAAGTTGACTCGATAGGCCTTAACGTATATGACAACATATGGAATCTGGTGGGGGTCTGTAGGGAATGCAGATAAGGAGGGTATCTACATGTAGGAAATATTTATTCAATAAATATATACATATCGAAAAAATGTAGAGAGGAGATCGAAATAGTGCATTCACCTGTTAGAACTGCAGGACACAGCAATGGAATAATTTATTATATACTTATTATTTTGGGTGTGCACAGTGAAAGTATGTGCACATGTGGGGGTGTGTATATGTGGGTACATATGAATGTAGAGTTCAGTGGTCAACATCAGGGTCTTCCTCAATTGCTTCTCCAGCTTCTTCTTAGAGACAGGGTCTCTCACTGAGTATACAGCTCAGATTGGCTAGGCTGGATGACAGATGATCTCCAGAGAGCCACCTGTCTCTACCTCCCCAGGCCTGAGATTATAGATGTGGACATGGCCTTTAACACAGTTACTGTATATCCAAACTCGGGTTCTCATGATTGTGAAACAAGCAGTGTACAGAGAGGCATCTCCCTAGGCACACATCTAGTATCTTAATATTTATGTCGGTCTTCAAGGATATTTCATTATGTAGAATCTAAAGATGAAAATCTTTTATAAAATAGCCATGCTCTGGCGGTTTGAATGAAAATGTCCCCCATAGGCTCCAAGTATTTGGACATTTTGTCCCCAGATGGTGGCACTGTTTTGGGAGGTCTTAGAAGGTGTGGCCATGCTGGAGGAAACACGTCACTGGGGTTGGGCTCAGAGAGTTCTTTAGCCTTGCCAGATCTCCAGTTGTTCTCTTGTTTCCTGTGCCTACTTGGAGACGTGAGAGCTTAGCTTCTGCTCCTCCTCCAGCCACCTCTGCCACCATGCCTCCCAACCGTGACAGACTGTAATTCCCCTGGAACCGTAAACTCAAACAAACTCTTCCTTTTATAAGTTGCTTTGGTCAGTGTTTCTATCACAGCAACAGAAAAGTAACTAATACACATGCCTTTTCATCAGCTGAATCATGTAGTGGTTTTCCAAATGGTCTCCACTGCTTCTAGACGATGGGTGTGCTAAGTATAGGTCTCCGTGCAGCACCCTGGAGCTGGTTGGACAGCCACCGCCCTGCTACATGACTGTTCACTCAGTGTCTCAGGGAAGGGCTCAGGAATCTGTGCTCACAGGGTGTTCTGAGTGGCTGTTACACATGGGGAGCAGCCTGAGGAGCACACTTCCCCAGGCGTGTGCCTCCCTCCCTCCCCAGTCCAGCCACCACCCTCATGTCCTGTGCTGTCCCATGCTGTTGTTCCTTTGTTTGTGAACACATGGTACCACGTTGGCTCCTGACCAGGACTTTCACAGTAGCTGCTATCTCTTCCTCTCCTCTTAGAAATGTACCTGTTGGCTAAGGTTATTCAGGCCTTGAGATTTCCCGGAGACAATTATTAATAATAATTCAGACCGATCTCCGTCATTTCCATGTAGACTGTGAATAAGATTTGATAAAACGGAACACCCACGAGTCACAAATAGAAACCAAAGAAGAAAATGGACCCTCCTCACTAACTTCTAGATTGTTTTCATATGCATTTTGTTAATGGCATGAAGAATGTTTTATTATTATTATTGTTATTATTATTTCTTAAAGAATCGGGAACTGGAACATGACCTTTGGGAAGACTTTTAGTTCTAGTAAATATTTTAACTTCTCCATATTCTGTTCCTGTTTTTTAAGAGAGAATTTGATAAACAAGCTTTATGTCAGGCACTCTGCATGGTAACTGGGTGTGCTAGGCCTGCACTAACTCTCAGGCATCTCGTGATAGAAAAATATTTGTTTCTTTGCCTCCTAAAGTTGCCCATTTTTACAAGGGGTTTGATTGCATTTCACAAGGCTCTGGGCAAGATCTTTAAGGTCCACTGTTTTCCTCTTTTATAAATTAGCTTCAGTAGATTATTTTTATAGTGAAAGCATAAACAGTGTTAAAGTTTTATTCTATCGAAAATCGATGGTTTTCTCTGAAGAGTACTTAACATTTTTCAACTTTACAGTAACAAGTGCCCGCCAGAGTTAATAAGCCCCAGAATGGGGTTGGTATTATGTAACGGAAGTGTGGCATTCCAGGACTGGTCACACCGGGAGAAGACAGTTTCCCTGAACCCCCAACCTTGGTAACCCTGGTACTCCCTGTTTCCTCAAGTGCAGACTCTGATGTGACATCATTCTTGCTTACGTTTCCTATGATTATGTCACAAGGTCACAGTCAGATGGAAGGAAAATAGAGAAATATCCCCAGGTGGGCAGCCAACCCCGATGACAGAGTGACTGTGAGGAAGGTATGCAGATACCTACAGGCAGCTGATGTGCCAAAGAAACCTACACAAGTTATCTTAGTGCCATATGACTGGGATTTCCAACCAAATGTAAGGATCAGTCATGGCAGGTCCACCTCTCTCTCCTGCTAACCCCAAGTCCTTTTAGACTTTTAACCGTGTCCTAATTGCACACTCTCACAGCACTTAACATTTGTTCCTTTAGAAGTTTTCATTAGTCTCTTAATTCCTATAATTATTTACTCAACTACACTGTAAGCCTCTTAAGGGCAGGATCAGAGTCCTGTGCTCCTGAGCTGCTGTCAGCTACTCTAGTTCATCAGATATGGTGAAGTCTTTGCAAGTTGTATAGAAAAAGGAAAGTGCTAATTCATATTACAGTGCATAGTCTCTTAAGAAGCAATCTAGGCTATAAATTATCTCCAATTGCTTTTTGGATTGGGCATCTGCTGAGTCAATCAAGCCCAAAGTGAGACCTGTTCCTTTTGTCTTTTCTTGAAGGACACGATGCCATCATCACCCTCTTGAAGCATTACAAGAGATCTGAGGATGAGCTGCCATGTAATGAATATTCCCAGCCTGGAGGAGGTGCTCTCCCCACCACACACCTTTTTTTTTTCTATTCAGCTTCCCTTGCTGTACAACACTGTGCCCAACAGTAAACCTGTGTTTGTGTTACGATCCCTCTGGGCAAGGAGGGAGGGTACAGCCTAAGTGATGTGCCTTATTTCTAGAAAATTTGTGTCTGGGTGGAGCTAAAAATAGTGTTCACCACCAACAAATTTCCTTCCTCAAAGTCAACACTCCTTGGAAAGGACAGGCATGAGGGTTGTATAGGACTGGAAAGGCCTGGAAAGGTGGGAACAGGCATTTTCCATGTCAGTAGTTTACTAAGTTAGGGAAAAAGAACACATAACCAGACACAAATTACATCAGCTGGAGTCTGCTAAAAATGGCATCATCAAATCCTTTTATGCACTTTCTAGACAAATATTTGTAGTACAGTTTCCATCCCCAGAAAAGTATTTAAACCGTAAACTTCCTCGTCTGTCTCATTTTTATGATGTTGAACACTAGAAAGAAATGGATGCTTCTTTCAACTGTTAACGTCTGTTCTTTCTAGATGGTTCCTATGTGTCTGTCCCATCCCCCTTGGGGAAGATTAAAAGTATGACTAAAGGTATGTATAAATAGGATGGTGGTTATATTTTGTTGCTAAGGCTGATTGGTTCCTCAGTATGGTAACATAGTGCTTTGTTTTTATTATAAATGACTAGTTTACAGGTATAAGCAGTATCACCAGTAGACCATTGTTTTCATAATTTACTTTATCCTTATGCCCTTTTAGTCTGTAAAGTTATAATGACAGCAAAACTTTCATGAGCATTACACAAATGTCAAACTCCCATAGTACTATTGAAATATTTATACCTGATGGCTGGGAAGGTTCATTGTATTTGGGAGTTGACATGGGTGAATTTCTTTTGTTTTATTTCTGTGCCGAATAGCTTCACTTGTCAACTGGGAAAAGGACCCCTCAGTTGAAGAATTTTTTCTCCATGGGCCTGGCCTGTGGGCATGTCTGTGAGGCATTTTCTTGATTGTTGAGTGATGCAGGTGGGCCCAGCCCACTGTGGACAGTGCCACCCCTGGGCAGGTGGTCCTGGGTTATATAAGAACGCAGGCTGAGTACAATTCCTCTGTGATTTGTGCTTCAGCTCCTGCCTCCAGGTTCCTGCCTGGAATTCTTGCCCTGGCTCCCCTTGATGTTGGACTATGAGCTGTAAGCCAAATAAACCCTTTTCTCCACCCCCAAAAAAGAAATATTTATATTGGGAAGAAATATAAATTACAAATATTAATATTCTTAGAACTGGAAGTAGATTTGCCTTAGAGAAATCTTCAAAATAATAAACTAGTTTTCAAAAATCTCTCAGGTAATACTGTAATTTAGGAAGACTTTGGAATGCCCACTGCATACAGAAATGAGGGACAGTAGACCAGGGCAGCATAAAACAGGTTTTCATGGCCAGTTTTTATTCAACCACTTGGAATTTGAAGTCTTTTAAAAGTACTTTTTGGTCGGGGGTATTTCCTCAGATTGATTCATATGCTTATTTCCTGTCCTTTAATTGGCATCCCCCAGAGGCCCAGTTCATCAATAGATATTTGACTTAGCCTATTGATGTAGGAATGGATTGACCTGATTTCTCAGGCTATAAAACAGAACACATTGGAGGGTGGCCATGTCATTCAGCCACACTAATTGAGGTTGAGATCACCAGTAAATGCATGGTCCTGATAACCCTGTGGTCAAACAGCTAAGACAGAATTCTGGCTATCATGCTGGTAATGCAGGGCCTGAGACCATTTGCCCTAAGGTTTTAGTATCTGTAAGTCATCCATTCCAGTGGGGAAATTAACTAGTCCTGGGTAATGGTGATTTTAGTTGAATGCATGGATGCATGTGTACACACCCACCTGTGCACTTCTTATCACAAAATAAAGTGACAATTCCTGTGTGCAGAGAAGGCAGATGTTCTCCTGCTAAGGGCTGGGCTGCCCTCCCATTTCCAGCTCCAGCTCTCTGAAATCGAGTTCCATGAAATCATCGGCTCAGGTAAGCTAAGCAGTTAGAGTTCAGCTTCAGTTTAATAAGCTCAAGACAGTATATTTCATTATTATAATACAATAGAATAATGCATAAGCATGCACTTATTTCTCTTGATTTTAGGTTCTTTTGGGAAAGTCTATAAAGGACGATGCAGGAATAAAATAGTGGCTATAAAACGGTAAGTAAACAGAGGAAATTGGCACCTGTAGGCTTGGAAAAGCCCAGCACGGCCAGCCCCTTGTGCCCATCCAGCTGTTGATGAGAACTTGCTATTGCCACTGTTTTAGTTACCGAGCCAACACCTACTGTTCCAAGTCGGACGTGGATATGTTTTGCCGAGAGGTGTCCATCCTCTGCCAGCTCAATCACCCTTGTGTGATCCAGTTTGTGGGCGCCTGCCTGGAGGACCCCAGCCAGTTTGCCATCGTCACACAGTACATATCAGGAGGCTCCCTCTTCTCACTTCTTCATGAACAGAAGAGGTACGGCACTCTGGCTCTCACCCACCCTGGCACAAGGCACTGCAGTAAATTTGAAATATCCTAAAGATTTGTGATTGGCTGAGCTTTCCCCTTCCGAAATCTCACAGTACTAGCAATTATGGCATTCTAAATATGGCTGGTAATTTACGAATAATTATTGTATTTCAAGGAGTGAAGTAAGTCCTTAACACAACATCAAAGGTAATAAATTTAAATCGACAACCGAATAGTCTTATAAAAAAGACACAAAAAAAGACTAACTTTGGCATGCCGATAAAGTGGATGTATCTGTGTAAGCTCAGAATAAAATAATCACCGAGTCACAGTAATTATTTTTAAAAGTTTTTAAAGATAATGTACTTGCACAAGTGTCACCTGAATTCACTTCCTAAATCTCTGCAAATCGTAATTAGAAAGTGGCTTCCTTCAGTGTCTAAAGCCAATATCATTTTTATATTATTGTGGATTTTGGTGTATCACAAATAAATTAGAAAATCGTACAATATTTTAAACAAAACATGTTAGATATCTGAATTGACCCATATGTACACATTTTCCACTGTAGTAAAGCTATTTTCCAGATTGGTTTAATTTTTAGCTTAATCTTCAATAAATAAAAACTTGAATGGAATTGTAGAGAGGAGGGTTCAGGTGCTCTGCTGTTTTCTTCTGACAGATACAGTGGGTGTGGCTTCAGCCACTTGACCGCCGTTCAATCTGTTTCCCATTCTAGAATCCTCGACTTGCAGTCTAAACTAGTAATTGCAGTAGATGTTGCCAAGGGTATGGAATATCTGCACAACTTGACCCAGCCCATCATCCACCGCGACCTGAACAGGTACTTGGCTTCCAAAATAATGGACTTAGAGCTGTGCAGCTAGGAGACTAAGGTAATGTAGGGATGATCTGTTTCAGACTTATCACAGGAGATTTTCTACTTACTCAGTGGGGAGGGGAACAGCTACCATAGGTAGGTGAGAGGAAGTTTGCTATTGTCTTTCAGACTGCTTCCCAAATATCTAAATCAACACAAATGTCCAGAAAGACAGTGCTGTCTACAGTACGTACTCCGTGATGATGCTTCTGTGAAGGGTGGACAGGTGCTCCCATGAGATATTTACAAGGCTGAAAAGTTCCTATGGCTGGGGAGCAGTGGAGCCTTTGTAGTGGAGCCCAACATATTACTCAAGAGTTCATGAACATATTGATGGGACAAACCCACTATGCTGCCAGTCAAGCAGAAGTCTAGACCTGTGTTTATCTGTACTACACAGCACTTGACAGTTAACAACTGTGTTAGTGGTTTAGTATTTACACTCTTCTTTCTATCGTTATTTTGGACTTCTACTCCTTTTATTTTTGAGAAAAACATGTTTACTGTAAAACGATATGACGTGTTCTACCAACGGCATCTGCACACATCTTGTATTGATTGTCTCTTGGTTACATCAGAGGGCTGTGCTCAGTGATTAACCCATGACGTCTAGGCTTGTGCAAGGGCATACAAAATGACAAAATCACCGGATACCACAATCATCGAAAGTATCTGCTATTAACCAAATGTGACTATAGTCCCCAGGTCAGTGAGGTCAGGTCAAGGAGTACTCTCAATGACATTAAGAATATCCTGCATCAGGGCTGGAGAGATGGTTCAGTGGGATCACTGACTGCTCTTGTAGAGGACCCAGGTTTGGCTCCCGGCACCCACATGGTGGCTAACAAACAACTGTCCTTAACTCCATGCCCAGGGGAATATAATACCTTCTTATGACCTTCGAGGGCATTGCAGGCCATGTGTGCACTTACGTACATGCAGGCAATACACTCATACACATAAAATAAAAATAGTAAATAAAATATTCATAAAGAATGACCTACATCATACAAAATCAGATGTTAGGATCTTATCTGAAACACTCCTTAGGATCATTATCTTGGTATTTTCATGCTAGTAAATTCACACAAACCACAGAACCAGCTTACCTGGTTTCCACGTGAAAGGCTTCATGTGATATAGAGACTTGAAACAAATACAGAATCAAAGTGCCCCACAGGGGTGGAACACCAAAGGATTTCAGTTTTTTTCCTACAGAGTGAAACTTGTTTCTGAGGAGAGTCTTAAACAAAGGCCAGTGTGCAAAATAACATAGCTTTGGTTGAAGGTGGTATGCAGTGGTAGAAAACATTATTATTTCCCACTGCTAAGGAATGAGACCCAAAGTTGCCTTTGTGGAACCCCACAGACAGTTACTGATCTACCTTATAAAACAACCCAGGTTATTCTGTGCCCATAACTTCCACTTCAGTTTCACCAATAAGATCCATATAGATCCTGGATGCTGTTCCTTCTGCAAACGCCACAGTTCTACAACAACTAAATATAAAGGAGTTACTGCATGCAGCTCCCGATCACCAGACACTTGGACGTCTGCTGTGTTGAAAGCCTGTTACATTTGGCACATTTCTGTTTGCAAAGTGAAGAAGCTGCCTGAGGCCCCAGTGTGCCAACTTCCCAGGAGTTTTCACATCATCATAGACAAGAAAAATACTTACCTAAATACATTTTAAGCTGTAAAATTGCCAGTTCTATAAAACAAATAGTGGAATTGTATAAAATCCCAGGAAGAAGAATATTAATTAGTTTGGAGGGGTTTAGAGACAGCTCTGTGGATGAGGTGATATATGAGCTTGGTGCTAAGGAATGAAAAATTTTTAAAGTGCACACTAGAGTTAGGGGAGAGATTGGTCAAACTGAAATTAAATTATTAAGCTTCTGTGTAGGAACTATAAGTAAATGGAACCTGAAGACAGAAATTGGTGTGTGCTGAAAATATAGTTTAGCTGCTTCCCTGTTTGCACTGGAATCACAAACCGGAAGCTATGTTGTGGGAAGACTAATCGAGCCTTTAGGTGGATTATCAACCAGAGCACAGTCAGGAACCCGGTGAGGCAGGTACAGCCCTAGTCTAGATGAGAAGAAAATAACAGAGTTGCAGTATCAGGAAGTAAAACTGAAATGGAAAGATGCAAAGAACAGAGACAAAAGGAGCTGAGTCAGAGCTGGTAGAAGTGAGTCAGAGATGGAAGAGCTGAGTCAGAGCTGGTAGAGCTGAGTCAGAGCTGGTAGAGCTGAGTCAGAGCTGGTAGAGCTGAGTCAGAGCTGGTAGAGCTGAGTCAGAGCTGGTAGAGCTGAGTCAAAGCCCAGTGCTAGAAGTGAAGATACAGGACTTCATTTGTACTGACTTAGCTTTCAAGTGAAAATCATTTCTCCACTTAGCTATTATTTCTTTCCTTTGCCTTTTCCCCTAAACGTTGATGCTAATAAAAGTATTTTCTTTGAGTGTCAGGAACCAGATTGAGAGCTTTCGATGACAGAATGAGCTTTTCTGTTCCATTCTGACCATGTTGTGTGGTATCAGAGTTCAGGACTCAGGTTGCAGCTTCTGCAACTGCAAGTTTTCATTTCAAATGTATATTCTGTCGCCAGGTGAGTAAAGGCAAGTTCTTACCATCAGTCAGATTGCAGAAACAAAAAAATATAAATATTGATTAGATATGAATATAAGACATTTACCATAACAGGTACAGGTTTATAGTTGCCATTTTTGCTGTGATGTAACCTAAATGGTTAAAATTCTCTCAAAATTCTTCAAATATTGTGAAACAGGCACAGAGACCTAACTACTGCACCTATGGTTTCCCGATACTCTTCTACCTTCTGTCATTAATCAGGTGACAGCAACAGCACTTTGTCTTGTTCAGATTAATGCAGCCCTGGCACTGTACATGCTCAAAGGAACACACCTCACATGCCAGAGGACTTGCTCCAGCTTAGTTGGATATATATATATATA